AAAGGACGATTATTCGCACCGTGTTCTTCCTATCGATGCATTGTACCATTTTTTATCGATATAACAGCATGACGAATTTTGAAAGGAAGAACAGAAGGTGCGATAGTCATCCTCGCTGAGTTGACTTGAAGGCAGATGGAAGTGGCTTCCAAGGAAATCCGAGTAGAAGTTGTGGATGACCTTTCATATTGACGGTACTGCATTTCTGAATCGGTAAATGGATGAATAAATGAATGATGAACCCATGAGTGAATGGATGGAACTGAATGAAGGAAAACATGTATTTTTTGACCTATTCACCTTATGATGAAAATCAGAGGAGAGAACTGATCAGGTTTGTTGCTTTCCCCTAATTCTTACCATATGCTATCCTATCATTTCGCTTCAAAGATACAAAACATTTCTCAACTTGCTAAACGGTGATTTCCATTTGTAACTCAACATTATCCTGTAAGGCTGATTTCTCCTTCTCCGCCTACAGCACATTCGATTTAGAAAATCCCATGTATACATGTGGCTAGCAATGATGTTTATCTGGCTACCACCAACAAAGAGCAATCAACTGTTTTGTGCCCAAGGAGCATTCAAAAAGCCTTTCCAAGAGCAAGTTCTAGAACTCAAGGTATGTCAGATGCTGCAAACATGTATAAAAACTCGATATCACTGCGTAAATCATGCAAATCAACCAAAATATGGATGCTAAATTACAACAACAATTAAATAACACTAGGAGGTTGCTACAAATAAGTTTGGTTTCAGATTTCTAAATACCCTGGACAAAAGCGTGAAGACCAATTTACAAATGATATAACATCAGTTAAAACTGAAGAGTACAGAGCACATTTGAGAACGAACTCAGACAAGATGAACCAATAGCCATTTTCCAGAGAAATATAAGTAAACAGCTCGAAGAGCCACAGCCCCCAGAACATGCAACACTGGAGCAGATAGCGATGACTACCACCGCAAGTGTGGTCGGTTGGCTGGGATCCACCTATCCAAGACCTCCCAAAGTACTCGAAATCGAGCTTTGTCCATATGCCGCTTTGATCGGGATACCGGTAACCTGGTAACGCTCCATTTTGCAACATTTGGATCCACCTGCAAGATACAGCGAAAATTGAGCAGATAAACGGTTCTAAATTTCTTAGCCCTTCCTAGTGTTTGCTAAACAGTCTATGCACTCTATCAAAAGGCAGTGTCCGGGCAAAAACTCGATTTTGAGATT